AAATGAATTCAGTACGAATGAACACTCACTATTGACAGTAGCAGATTTTGTTTCATTCAGGCCGGAAATGTTTGCATTTGTACGGGTTGAAGGCAACCTTAGGAGATTAAAAAGGTTTTCGGAAATAAATGAGCCTTCTGATCCAGAATCAATTAAAGCTCTAGCCTTGAATCTTTTATCTAAGTGACGGATTTCAACCATTGCTGCCCCCAGTAAAACGTCTTTGGAATTTGTTGAAAAGCAGGATTGAAACATGTCAGCTCTAGAACTATTAATGGACTGTATTGTAATGGAATGAGAATGAGTAACATATGGTTCGACATTTGGATCGAAATCGGAACTTGTACCAGGGGCAGATAGGTCTGTGGAAGTTTCAGCATCTCTATGGAGTAAAGTGTTGTGCCTTTTGTTGCATCGGAAACAATTAGTAGGATTACTGCAATTCCGTAGTGAATGTGTCTTGGAGAAACAATTAATGCACAAACTTAACTTCTTGATCTCATTAAAGCGCTGGGAGTAATCCATTTGCAAAAATGTTGGACATTTGCGTATCGGATGATGCTCATTAGGGCATAACTGACATTTAGGACCGGAATTATTATTGGAGTATTTGGACAAACTATTTATCATTTTCGTATCTGACTCGGAAGGCTTAGTAGTCGTAGATCGGATTTCCGAAACTGATTCTAATGTTCGGAAACGATTAGTTAGAAATTCATCGAAATCCGACCACTTAGGAATCGAGGACTTATCTTTTAAGCCTTGCTCCCATAGTTTTAAAGTAGAATCAGGGAGCTTGTTGGAGCAAAGGAACACGAAAATTGGATCAATGTCTATGTTATGGAGCTTTAGAATGGAAATACACGAATCAATGTCCCGTTGCAAATGTTGTATGGATTGTGCAGACTCGGAAGATATACTAGGGAGATTGAAGTGTATTTTAAGTTGGCCATTGACTTGGACTCTGCGATTCTCGAATCGTTTTGTAAGATTTGACCAAGCCAAATCAAAGCCTTGATTCGTCAAAGGACTTTTCTGGACGATCTCCCTAGCTACTCCATTGGTCTTTTGGATCTAATGGAAAAGTTTCTCTACCGGACTAAGTGTAGAATTTTTGATGTACATAGCCGTAAAAAGATCACGAAATGTTGGCCATGATTCATAGTCTCCACAGAAAGTGTCTATTTCACACGGAGGTAGATTAAAACTATAAAATTGGTTAGAAACGGAATTCTGAATAATGTTTCGGACAATTCGGACAACTTTGAAAGAATTTTGCAGTAAGTGATATAGGACTCTTTGTATTTTCTTTTAAGTGCCTCTAAACCACCGGATTGTTCGTCGTCGTCGTCAGTGTCCGCTTCATTGCCTTTGTCTGAAAGAAACTTTTCCTAAGCGGACTTGACACGGATCCAAGTGGACTTTAATTCGGATTTGTGAATCTCAAGAGCATGAATAGAATCTGTGGGATATCTATTGTCATTATAGTCGGCCGCAAACTCGACAATACTATCAGCAAGACGAATGAAATGGTCTAAAGTCATATTGACATTGTAGACGGAATTTGGGAAATTTAAGTTTTGAATTTAATAAATCACGAACGTTAGGCAAAAATCACGGAAAAATAATGAAGTTCTCACAGATCAATTACTTTGTTCAAAACAAGTAGGAAAATTCACTATTTGGAAAAAGTATATTTTTTTGGAGAGTGAATAGTTTTATACAACTGGATGCCTCTATAGGTAACAACAACAATGTAGCTAGAGTTTGTTTACTAATCAAATCGATTAGCCCTTTGGAACACAAGAAAAAGTGGAATAAATAATCTCAATAATTTATTTCCCAGACAAAGTGTATAATATCACCAAGAAATTTGTAAGTAAATTGTTAATTTACTGATATATTAAGTGCGAAATGGCACACAAAAAAAATAGCAATTAATTATACACAATTGTCGGAAAAATGGGTTCTTCGTAATTTAGGAATTATGATATAATTTTATAAATTGTTAAATTAATTTAACAGTGTATTAAAATTAATCAAAAGAATAGAAATCAATGGAAATATATTGATTATTTAACAAAAAAATGGTACAAGACGTTAGTGACCTCAACGATCACATAAGGGTTAACACTGATCAGTTGCGTATGGAAAAAAGGAGAAAGAAAAAAGGAAAATAAGTATTGTGTGTGTTTATACACACGCACTAACAAGTGTAATTCTTGGATGATGGTTAGTGCAATAAACAATCAAACAAACGCATGCAAATTGAAGTGGACAATTGTATGTAATATTATCAAGCAGAAATAATATTGTTTGGAAATAAATAAGAGCAACATATAACAAAAATGTGTGTATGTAATATAGATAAAGGAAATCGTAATGCAAATGAATATTGGATTAATAAGAAGAGAATTCTGTTATGGACATTAAGAGAACGTGCGAAATCTAAATGAAATAAAACTAATATCCCAGCGGTAAAAATATACATTATGTACTCGCTTATCTAAGTGATATTTCGTGGCAGTCAGTGTTGATGCTTTCACTTATTCTTCCCCTTAGATTTAACATAAAAGTGTCCTAGGCTACCTCATCGATGTGCTCTCGCTTAGAATTTAAGCCACAATATCATTAAGACAAATTAAAATTTCACTTACATAATGTGTGGAGTTCTAAGCGAAGGTAATGAGACGCCCATAAACGCTTGCAAATAAGAATGTAATGTATGTAGATTACAATCCTATTTGCATTTGTCTTCCCTTTTTGTTATAGAAAAAATATATATTTTTTTATATTTATTTTAAAATTATGTAAGTTTATTTAAAAATGATTATCAAATAATAAACATGTATTATAGTTAATTCAATAAAAATATAATTAAACAATTTTAACGAAGATAAATGAAATTAATCTTAATTTTCTTTTGAAACTTTCGGCCATCTTCCTTTACAGATCCTGTAAACAATCAGGAGGAAATTATCAGTATTAAAACTAGAATGTATGAAATAAATTTACCCTAATTTTTAAATCCATTTCTGCCGTTTAGATCACCACAATTATTTTAAATTTTTACAATAAAATAACTTTTTTAACAAAACACAACTTCACTTACAAAAGATCAACTTTAAACTGATACAAAAAGATTCTTCTTTTCATGTAGTATACAAAAGAAAAATAAAACGGTACTTTAGGTTTTTTTTAAGAAATAAAAACAAAAAACAAAATGAAAAAGGCAGCTAACTCTCTGCATAAATCGTAATCTATGTTATAATTAAAGTGCATGATATGTTGGATTACGCATACATTGCACTCTAAGTACTTAGATTGCTCGCTTAGAACGTCATACTGATGTCATCGAATATTATCTAAGTACTTTGTTTCATTTACCGCTGGGATTTTAATATAGCCGAAGTAGGAGAAGAGCAAATATAACGACACGAATAACATACCATACGATGGGTAAACCAAAGAAAGTTTGTTGTTAAAATTTGCGATGGGTAAAATTTTAGCTAGGTAGTGTAAAACAATGTAATTGTTTACCGACCGATTATGCTGCTAATATGTTAAATTTTCAATAATTTCAAATAAACTGAAATGCCGTCGACTTTTATTAAAAATATATTTTGGAACTTTTTTCTCTTTAAGAAGTAATTAAAATCAAGAAGAAGAAATTAGGGTTTGCAGGAAATATGAAATATTAACGAAAGTAAGGAAAAATTGCTATATGTTGTTTTTGGCGTAAACAATCGGTACATAATATTTTACCAGATGAAACTTTATAAACAAACATTACACAACAACATGATCTGTGATCATGCAATGTTTTAAGATCAAACAATTTCCTTTTAGATTCATGGGAAGTATCGATAGGCCAAAATAATAATTTAAAATCTAAATTTACAATTGTTTTTGAATACGTTCAGTCCATTATATAAGATTCCTCTTTATATAATGGACTCCAAATAATTGAGCAATATACGAGGACTTAAGAGTAAAAGGACCCTTAAACTTCTCCTTAAAAAATCCAACATACAATATGCTCTAGAAGTTATATAATAAATATGATGAACGAATGACATTTTAGTATTAAAAATAAATTCTAAATCTTTGAATTCAACATCACGCTTCACGTCAATATCATTAATTTTGTAATTAAACATTATTGAATTCAAATAACGTGTATACATTATATACATTTCGAATAATATTAATACAATTTTTAGAATACCAAAGCGATATCAGACTGTAGTTAACTACAATCACTAACATTAGATATATTTGAAAATAATTTCAAATCATCAGCAAATAAAAGACATTAAGACAACTTAAAAATTTGGGGTAAATCATTAATATATATTAATGATGCTTTAAGACCTATTCCGAATATCACCCTAGTGTTTATAGGGGAGCATTCCATTTAGTCATATGGTTTGATGGTGGGTATATAAAATTCGGCATAGCCAAATACACTCTTACTTATTATAAATTAATTTGTTAAAGTTTAGTAACATTCCATTTTATGTTCAAATAGCCAATAAATAATATGAATAATAGATAATTTGGTTCCTACAAAAACAAATTCCCAACAATTAATCGTGAATCAGGCTGTAAAATTAAAAAAAAAATCAATTTAAAAATTACAAAAATAAAGCATAAAATGTCAAAATATTAAAATCAAAGTCGGGAAAATTAAATAAATTGAATTTTTATATAAGATTGTTTTAAATTAAATGAAAAATACCATCAAAAAGAATTGAAATCGTGCAAAAATCTCTGCATGTAAAAAAAATATATTTCGACATTTAAGCTTATAATAATTTTTAATTGCCAGAATCAAAATTTATATTTTAATTTATTTTCTCCTAAATAAAAAAAAACAGCAACGATAATATCATTCGACTTATTATTAATATGCATAATCTTTACCTGATTTTATTTCAATACCGAAGCTGTTGAAATTTATTTATAATTTAATAAATTAATAAAAAATTTCTTTCTAGGTTTTAAACAAGTTTGATTACTTTTTTACGGCTGTCTTCACAATAGAACTGTTGCTTAAATTGATTTCATATGGCTTCGTCTTACATGATGGAGCATTCTGCCGATCAGCCTTCAATTTATTGGACTTGCTGGTCGTTTGCGTATCGCTAATATCAATTGGTTTCAGGTGAGTACTTAAGTAATAGAACGCAGTAGAGCCGAATGATAAAGTACTAGTCAATTTATTTAAAACTTGAAGAAACCTACAATGTCATTAATGTGACTATATACACAAAATTTATTGAAATCAAATTTTAGCCCGATAGAAAAAAAGACTGTAATGCCAAGAAAATTTGATTTTGATTCAAATAGAATTTACATTCGGATTGTGCCCAACAACATTTTGCATTTGTACCAACAAGTATGTTTCTGTTGTCCCAAAGTGTAAATTCATTGTAGAGGCAAAATTAAATATGTTGCCTAAAATGTCATATTTGTTGCTCCAACGGTTCAGTTGCTGTTGTCGTAACTGTAAAATTGTTGTCTCAAGAGTTCAGTATACTTTTGCCCCAAATGCAAAAATTGTTCCCTCAACATTTCAATATATCTTTGTCGCCAATACAGAAAATCAAAAGTTGTTGGGCGCAATCCGAATGTAAATCCGTAAATTAAAATTTTCTTGGCATTACAGTTTTTTTGCGTATATTGACATATTCATTGTTAAAAGCAATGCAATCACTTCCTTGGATAAATCCACCGTACAAACTGTTTACTTAAAAATATCTTCCGACATTGTCGTTTGTTTATTTGAAACACTTTAATTTTTATTTTAATTATTTTAAAACTAAAAAGCTTACTTTTTTCACTTGTTTCACACCCACAAACTACTCAATACTGATCGTAATGATAATAAATTGCAAATCATTGTGGCTCTTTGAACTAAAATGCTCCTTTTTAGTGATTAAGTTAAAAGGTTATACTACGTCTACAAATTAAATTACAAAAACAACATTGAGACATTGTTTCAGTGTATCACAAAATAAGAAATTACCTGTTGTATTTGTTTTATAGTCATAGTATAACCTTTCAACTGAATCACTAAAAAAGAGCGTTTAAGTTTAGAGCGGCACAACTCTACCAAACATGTCATTGCCAAAAACATATTTTTTACGACGACAGTAATATTATTTGATTCAAAAAATAAATATTTTGTGGCAACAAAAATTTTTATTTTCTTCAAATGCAAATCACTTACGTCAACAGCAATTTTTTGCTGTTAAAAAACTTCAAATACTTTCATGTTGTTGCGGTAAATAAAATATTGTTGGAAATTTTCTTGCGTTTTCATTTTCTTGCGTTTTCATTTTCTCCAACAAGTTTTTATTCGCCCCAATAGCAAAATCATCAAATGATAAAATTATTTGCCGTCACAATATATATTTTTTTGTGTGTACAATGTACATTAGGGATATAACTAATTTGCCAATGTTGTATTAGTACTCAAAATAATTTTTTTAGGTCATTTGGAATTAAAAACATCACGCACAAACCCGAATTTCTGATATAAACCAAATTTTTTTCAAGTCTTTATTTTTATTATTTCAAAATTTTAATAATTTATATATGGGCATTTTTACCGAAAAGTATACTTTTGTCACATTGCGGCTCATCACTGCCTATATCTCCGGACATCTTAATCAAAAAGTTCATAAAAAATATTTTGTTGATCATATTTGTTTTGACCATATCTCCGATTCTTATAAACCGATTTTACTGGTTTTAAATAGCTAAATTCTTAGAAGGATATCTATTTGAATTATTTAAGATTTGCATTCCCGAAATATGTGGTGCCTTCAAAAAACTAATCTTAAAAACCAGACGGACAGACATTTGGTTCGTGAACTTTTTTAGCTACCGCGAAAAAATAATAACGTAGTTTCTCACATTTTTTAATGCTATGCGAACTTGCATATATGCAACAAATGTCAATAGTTATATTCCTAATGTACATGGCAATTCGTATACTTACTTAATTTCTAGAATAGTTGACGAAGTTTTCACATGTTTCCGTAGCACTGTAGTTAAAATGTTCAATCTAACCGGAAAAAAGTCAAGGAACTTTGCATGCTTATGGAATATGAACATCAATCGTCATACAAAAAAAGGCGAAATCTGTTAAATGGTCGTTGTCTTTACACTAAAGTTATTCGTATGAAAATCGAAGGATTGTTGCTATTACAGTTATATATATATATATATATATATATATATATATATATATATATATATATATATATATATATATATATATACGTCCAAGTTTTCGCGTAGCTCCCATATAAGTGACCCACTGAAAAACAGCATTAACATTTAAAAGTACGAGTATAGCGATGAAATTTGACACATATGATCTAAAATCATATTACTTTATTACGAATATTACTGGCTTCTGGGATATAAGTGTGGTACAGTGAAATAGCTCCCAAATGAAATAACTTCCAATGGGTAAAATGAAATAACACTTAAAACATTTGGTACAGTAAAATAACTCTCAAATGTAATTACTCGCAACGAGTAGCATGAAACAACTCCCAAAACATTATCCATACAAATATTTTTTATTTCTCAAAATGAAACAACTCCTAATAAAATTTTTTGTTGGGAATTTATTTCATTCTTGTTGGGAGTTATTTTATAATTTTGCAAACTTTGGTGGATAATGCATTTTGGATATCATTAAACCAACGTTGCGCGTTCATATTGTTCAAATTACGAAGATTTTCGACTATTCACACGTACACTACCCGATCATAAACAAAACTCATAGCAAGAGCGTAAAAATACAAAAAATTATCTTCAGTTGCTTAACATTCAACAATGTAGGTTGATGTCGCTTTGTTTCAAAAATTGCAAAAACAATTTGTAAAAACAACAACATAATTTGTAAACAATAGAATTACCTGCAAAAAACAGATTTAAAATATTTAAATCTTTGCTTGTTCTATTAGAAAAGATGAGAAACCCTATTTCCACAAATATTTGATTAACTAAAATCACATTATGACACGCCACCATAAGAACCACTCGTGGAAATAACTTAAACGCTCATTATTTTGAATATGCCATAAAAATTATGATCTTTTTAATCGTCAATAATGAGACCTTCCATATATGTACCTACAAACATATCGCACACCCAGTACAAAAGTGACACAACTCAAAAAAATTTTTTAAAGAAAAGGAAACAAATTTTTTACAAATTCTGAAAGATAAAGAAAGACATAACGTTTTTTCTTGAACAGTTAACAACAACAAAATACACTAATATTTTTGTAGAGTTAAACAAGTATCTTGTGTATAGTTTAAGGCTTAAACTTAAGGCTTAAAGAATATAAAAACGCAAAAATAAAATTTTGAGTTGTGTCACTTTTGTACTAGGTGTGCGATATGTATTTTGTTTCGCACATATGTTGCATCCATTAAAATTGGCTGGTAAATTTGGATTGTATTGAATATTAATATAACTTTTTTAGTCTGAAAAAAATCTTACCTAAAATTATCAAAAACTATTTTTACTGTAAATATTTAAAAGAGATTTTTTCACTATTGCCAAATCCAGTTTCCTGATTTAATTTAAATTTATTCTTCTTTTAAAACGTAAATATTATTCGGCTCATACTTTTCGTTTAACATGTTTTTACGGCATTCAAATAAGTGCATTTATATTTTTACATTTTACAGTTCGAATGCGATTTCAGTCGTGAAAATATTGCGTGTACTGAGAGTTTTAAGACCTCTAAGGGCTATAAATCGCGCTAAAGGCCTAAAGGTATGTATGGTTTAATAAAATTGCTTGTTTGTTTGAATGTATTTTGCCTTAATGTTATAAGTATCTACTAAAAGTTAAGCAACCGGAATAATAAAATATTTGTATGTGGCTTTAAAATATTAACAATGTTTCTGAATGCTTAAAAATTGAAGCTTTTATGTGCACTTTATAGAAGATGTATGGCACATTAGACTGGTCCATAAATATATGAAAAGAGATATGTACGTCAGGATTTTAAGCATTTCGAATATATTTAAATCGTCATATGATTTTTGTTAATAAAGGATTTCATTAATTTATATTCCGAAACTATTGATAGTAATACATCTGAGATTAATTTTACAAAGTCAAAACTAAAATTCTTTTGAGCTAAGAAAAGGTGTTTAGTTGAGACATTTTGGATAATAAACTTCCAAAATTCTACAAGGGAATATTTTGAAAATTGTATCAAAAAAATTTTAATATTATATCACAACAAGTACCAACTGCTACTTTTCAATATGTTAACGAAGAAATCTTTTATTGAGTTTTAGGTATTTTAGTATTCTTTAATTTGAACATTTGTGTCGAAATTTCGAATTTTTTCAAATATGTTGACCCTACGTCGGTAAGATGTGACATACTTTTCAAAACTTCAAATATAGGACATACATATATTAAAAAAAAATCCCAAAGCTGGGATCACACTAACCGACTAAAAAGCTTTTAAAGGAAAAGACCTAAGCTTTCATTTGAGCAAAAAAGAGGAAAAAAGTTAAAAAAAAAATTAAAATTTTGAAAAGTTGACGTGAAAAAGCACCTCTTTGGCAAAAATGTTAAACTTTACCCACTGTAACTGACAGTGAGGTATTGACCGATCTTGTTTAAAAGTTGTGTCGAACTACTATCCATTGAAATTCATTATAATTTATTTGTGTTTTTTACTTATGTAAGTCATATTTATGAATTAAGTATTGGAGTTTTTTTATTTTTTGTTGGGAATTAGTTAAAATACTTAAAACATAAATAATAACTTAATAAAACTTTTTAACCGTGAATTATTTTGTAAACCATTCCACATAAATTTGATTAAATTAATTACTATTAGTATTGGAAAAAATCATAGAAATGATTCAGAATATAGCAGTTCAATGTAGCAGAGCAATGTAATTATTATGTCAGAAAGGTTCACATTTTAAGGGAAACATTATAATTATTAGGTAATCATGTGTTGAAATATTTGACCAGTCTAATGTGCAATACTATTTAAATTAGTTCTGTGCAATGTTTAAAATAAATATAGAAACTATCATATAAACTGCATTTTATTTAATATTTTAAAAGATGAACTTGATATAACAACTTTTTTAGGTTTTTTCCCAGGGAAACCGAAAACGTGCTCCAAATATGCATTTATACGTACAGTAAAAACCAAAAATATACTGATATAAATTATATAAATGTATATATGGGCAATTTCTTTTCAAGTGACCCAACTTTTAAAATCGATGTCTTCCGATTTAGATTTACAGCTCTATTGGTCAAGAACTGCAGGACTTAGAGGGGGTGAAGAAAATTGGACATTTTGATCATACAGGGTTTTATTCAAATGAGTGAAACTATTCCAAAGGAGTTGAGATAGCTAATTCTTCATTGTTTTAAATAGGGGAAAATTAGGTAGCAAAAATTTAAAAAAATCTTATTTTTGAGTTAAAATTGTTTTTATATATATCCCACTTTTATCCCATTATGGGACTATAAATCCCTTAAAGGAAATTTAATAAGCTTTCATCTGAGCAAAAAAGGGAGTTTTTTTAATTAAAAAAAATATTTAAAAAAAATTAAATTTTATTTAGAAACAATGAAAAAATAGTTATCTGAACTCCTTTCGACAATTTTTTCTAGGACTAATAAGGGAAAAGTTACACCCATTTGAAAAAAAACATGTGTGACTAAAAAGTCCAACTTTGACCCCCTCTAAGTCCTGCAGTTTTTGACCGATAGAGCTGAAAATTTGAAATGTGTCTGGCCTACTATCCAATAGTACTAACCATGGTGCAAATTTCATACAATTCGATTTTTTGAGTTGGGTCACTTGTCACAAAATTGCCCATATGTATTCGTTTGTATGGAAAAAAAAGCTACTGTCGTTACCACCGAAATTTAAACTTGATCCATTCTAAGATACTATTTCTCACAATTTTTGTACTGGGTCAATATTTGGTGGCCAGGGTTAAATATAAATTTAAATTAAAAATAAATTTTTTTCACACCAAGGAATGATATAAAATTTAGATATCTTGCGAAATGTCATTGGGAGGTGTTTTCAATGGAGTATCAGCAACTTTTGCGATAGTTTGCATTTTTTAAATTTTAACATTTACTGAAGTGAACATATCATAAACCTCATTAAATTTCACCGAAATGGTTTTTCGTATTACGAAATTCAATGTAGATCAAATTTTATTAGATTTTTTCGAAACCATCATTGACTTTCAAAATATTTAACAAAAAAGAGTGACAGAAAATATTTTTTTACGTGAAATTGTGTAAGTATTTTTGTACTCTCCACCACCATTAGTGTCCCGCCAGCAACTCAACTAACTTTAAATGCATTAAAAGCCGACTTTTTCATCAACTAGTTATGGTTGATTCTTGGATTATTCTTAAATGGAGCCAACTGACTATTTTAACATGGCGATGTCCTACGCAGTAGTCAATTGTCCGACTCTGCATGACTTTTCAACTAGCTTAAAGTTAGTTACTAAAAAATTAGCTTAAAGGTAACTCTTTATTAACTAACTTAAAGTTAGTTTCAGAAAAGTCAAGTAATAGTTTTCTTTTGTATTCCCTACTGTATTAATTAATAACATTTTATTTAATATATTTAAAATTTAACTACTAGTTATCTAAATTATATTTCGCTTTAATACAAGTTATGATATTAGTTTAATAGACATCAGTTTTCTGCAGGGGAACTAATAATAACACCGGTATCCATAAAATTATGAATGATTTGTTCATTATTTCCATGATTCCCATTGACCCAAATCTAAAATAAATTTTAAAATGTTATGTGTAATGTTAACTGTTGATGTATTATATTTATAGTATTAATCAGTAGAATTTAGGGACCGAGTTTTGAAATATTTAACCATTTATAATTAATTTTTCCAATTTACTAACTCTAATTTCACAACGTATACAAGAAAATGACAAAAATGTAAAACAAAATTCCAAATATTAAAGAAACATGAGAAAACATGTCGAAACAAAATGATCTCCAGATAATTTTGGAGTACTCCCGCATTATATGATAGTTAGCTTGTAGCTAGTCTTTAAAAGTCGGTTGTTTACGTTAATAAATACCAAATTTTGGAACATTTCTGCATTACATAGTTGTTCGTTTATAGTCAGTCTACTAAAGTTAACAAATAAAATCATAATAATAGAGAAACAAGAGAAAACATGTTGAAATACAATTAATTCTCTCCAGATAATTTTGAGGCACTTCTGCATTACATTATAGTTAGCTTGTAGTTAGTATTTAAAAGTCGGTTCTTTACGTTGCCAAACACAAAATTTCGGGACAGCTCTGCATTACATTGTAGTTAGCTTATAGTCAGTCTGTAAAAGTAAACTAGAAGTGAATTTTTCTCGTAGTCGACTACAAAATTGCTGGCAGGGTGGCTATAGTGTTGTAACACTGAGAAATATTCAACTGAGACACAACAAATTATATACATATATTCTGGGTTCCTATGAAATTCGGAGTCGATTTAGATATGAATTTTTTTTCTTTTTTACACATTCTTATTTTTTTTACAAAAACTACTGCATAAATCGCTGAATTTTGTCATACATATATATTTTGTACAAGGATCGACAGTGGTGAATACCGGCAAAATATCCATAATATCTTATAATAACCAAAAAGTTGTTTACCGAAACCCTCTTTTCCAAAAGTCGGTTTTTTATAAACACTAGTCATACAGGGTTTTATTCAAATGAGTGTAATGTTTCACCTAATGGTTCTAACAAAAATTGTCCAAATTTTTAATTTTAAAATTTTTTTTGATATATTTAAAATTTTTTTCAAAATAGGCCCTTTTTATTTTTTTGATTTTTTTTTTTTTGCTTAAAAGAAAGCTTATACAATTTTCTTAAAGGGCTTTATAGTCCCATAATGGGATGCGAGTGGGATATCCACCAAACAAATTAAAATAATTAACTCAAGAATATTTTTTTTTTCAATATTTGGCACTTAATTCTGATTTTGTTCATTAGCATCTAAAACTTACTGGTGTAAAATTTTAGCCAAATCAGATAACGGGAGCACGTGCCGGAAATCGATTGGAAAGTGTAAAATTATTTGGTTTTTGATTAAAAAACTATCATAATTTCATTGGGTTTTCCATACAAATCAAAAACTACTTTCAAATAGTTTTTGATAAAAACCTAAACAAAACTCAATTAAAACTACCAAAAAAACATTTTCCAGCACTGGAATTTCATAAGTTTGAGCTTTTATAAAAGCTTTAAATTAAAATGTCAAAATAGAAATATAAAAATTAAATTAGAATTTAATAGGAACCCAGAATATATATAATTTTGTGGGCCTGTGACCAATATTTCGATGCGTTGCAAACGAAATGAAAAAATCAAAAAAAAAAAAAAAAAAATACTAACTACATGGAAATTTTAAAAACATAAAAACTTATTTCGGAGAGATTGTATGTATTTAATATATGTATAATAATTTCAATTATTTACATATATGTATTAAAAAATTCTAAAAACTAACAATATATGTACGTCTGGACAAAAAAAAAATAGAAATCGTATCTTAGAATGAACGAAATTTTCATTTTCAGCGGAACAGCAGCAACTTCTTTTTTGGGGCCACACTTACATATGTATGTATATTAAGTATTATCGTGGTTCAATTAAAACTACGGTAATAACACGGCACACAGTGGTTTAGAAACTTTTAATTTTGGAAATAATTCGGTATCTCTGGA